GTAGTGACAGGAATCAGGGAGTACTTCATAATGCTTCATTTCCGCCCAAATCTTCAATGCTTGCTCAGGTTGCTCCATTTTGAAAAACTTACCAAGAACTAAAAGAAAGGTATCACCAGTAGGACCTAAACTGGAAACCTTCATACAGTTAAAAACTTCCAAAGCTCCTTCAAAATCACCAACATGAAGAAATGCATGGTAGGTTTCAATGGTTGGGTTAAGATTCTCTTCTTTCATGGTGGACAATATATTTCTTGCTTCTTCAAGCTTTTCTGCTTCACAAAGAGGACGTATCATTGAGTTGTAAGTGGCAGAATCTGGCTGCAACCCTGTTTCTTTCATTTTCTTCAGGATGTTCTGTGCTTCATTTAAGCAATTTGAACGAGTTAGGACATAAACCAAAGACTTGTATACCTCAATGCCTGGATCCCAACTTCTTTTTTTCATTTCATTATAGAGCCGCAGTGAGTCAAAGAGATTCCCATCTTTTGAGAAACAGGAAATCATGTGAGTATAAGAAGTACCATTTGGCATAATGCAGTATTTTGTCATTTCTCTCCAAACTCTCTTTGCTTCAACTACATCGACCAAAATATTACACCAGCCATTCAGAATGATGTTAAAGCCATCAGTCTCCAGAGCGACGAGCTTCTTTTTTTTGAGCATTATCTCTTCAGCCTCTTCAACATTGCCATATCTACACAGAGCATTTAGAAGGGTACGGAATGCTTCTTCATCCGGAGTCATTCTGAACTTCTCCATGGTATGGAAAGTTCGAATAGCCTTGCATGGATCACTTGCTGCAGCGTATCTAATTGACATCAAATGGAAAGGAAAACAAACTTATGGGCGAGTAAAAGTTAGAATGATATACCCTATATGAATGTTCATGAAATAAACTTATGGGTGGGTAAATGGTAACTCTTGTGAATAGCTACTCTTTGGAAACCTACATTTTAAATGTTTCAAAACAAACAAGTAGAAATAATAAAAAAAAAAAAGAAGGAAGGAACTCATTCAGTCAAAATAGGATATCAACAATGAAAAGTTATAGACAAAATTGAAGCAAATTCACAGAGAAAATTTCCAATCCTCTAAGCTGTTAAAAACCAAAAGTTCAAAGGAGAAAATCAAACATATTATGATGTTGTGAAAGCATAAAAGAATCCATCAATTTCAATCAGATTCAAAACACATACCAAAGTCCAAATACATCTGATTTGAATCAAGTTATCAATGTGACCCACTACTAAATTAACATAAATGAATGAAGAACACAGCCAAAAAGTGAAGAAGAGGGTTGGGCGGTGGGCGTGAATACAACAAGAATGATCACAAGGCATTGAGTCAACAATGACATCAAGCTTCAAATCAATTGTAGATCTATTGACCAGAAAAGAACACATTTTGTAGCAAGCAACATAGAGTTACAGTGACATTTATACTGGACGCAGTATAATTACCTTGTATGCTTATTAACAGCATTATAAGTTTTGTAACTTAATTCAGATTCATATTAATTCTAACTGTATCAATGAGGTCTTGCCTCAACAGCAAATTGGAGGCCCTTGGATCTAGCAGTCTCAAGTAAGTCCCACTTTACATGGATGTTCTCCAGTTATATATTGGTTGGTTTAGTTTCGTTCTTTATTGGTTTTTCCTCTTGTATATAATAATTGAGTCTTACATGTTAATTGTTATTTGATTGTAACTGTAATTTCTACCTATGCATGTAATCTCATCAAAATAAAAATCATAATTGTATCCAAAAATCAGCAATCAGAGGAGTATGCATAATATAGGCTATGC